TATAGCGCACGAAATGAACAGCTGATCTTCTGGATACCTGGTATTAAGTAGTCCCAACATCACTGAAGCCAACCTGATAGACCAAAAATACCGTATCGAAAATTTTTTTTTTCCTTTTTGACCAGCTTTTTTGAGATCTGACCCACTGTGCAACGTAATCAATATAGCGCGAACACAAAATTAGATCACCGAAAAAAAATGACGCAAAAAAACTGGTGTCAATGGTGCACTTGCAATTTTTGAGAAATAACTTTAAAAACGTGTTAAAATTATAAAATAATGCGTTTTACTAAAAAAAATTCAAAATATAGCCATAATTTATTAAAAATTATTATTCAAAAATAAATCCAAGTGTTATAATAATATATATATATATATATATATATATATATATATATATATATATATATATATATATATATATAATATATATATATATATATATATATACAGGGCCGCCGCGTGGGGGGGGGGGGTCACTGGGTACTTTTTACCTGGGCGCAGGATCATAAGGGGCGCTCAAATGATAATTTTTTTAAAAAAAAATAGATACACAGGGCTTCAATGAAAAACTTTTCAAACTGCTAATTTTAAAATATAAGTTTCAAATGTATTGTTAACTTAACAATACAGTATTAGTCGAACTCATATGCGGGAGTCTGAGTCTAGTCAAAATTGATGCGGGAAAATATTCGTAAGAGCTGCTTTGTTTATAAAGAACATATATATATATATATATATATATGTATATATATATATATATATACATATATATATATATATATATATATATATATATATATATATATATATATATATATATATATATATATATATATATATACATATATATATATATATATATATATATATATATATATATATATATATATATATATATATATATATATATATATATATATAGATATATATATATATAGATATATATATATATAGATATATATATATATATATATATATATATATATATATATATATATATATATATATATATATATATATATATATATATATATATATATATATATATATATATATATATATATATATAGATATATAATATATATATATATATATATATATATATATATATATATATATATATATATATATATATATATATATATATATATATATATATATATATATATATATATATATATATATATATATAGATATATAGATAGATAGATAGATAGATAGATAGATAGATAGATAGATAGATAAATAAGGTTAAAGTACATTGTATAATTGAGATTCTTACATTTAATATAGTTTTACTAAGTATCATAAAAATAGTTTTCAATTAAATTCAAAACTTTCTTAAAAACAAAACATGTTCACTTTCAAGAAAAAAGATTCTGGCTGTCAAAACAGAAAAAATGCGGCAAATAGGACAGCAAATGAGCAAAAAAATAAACGTACGCTCGAAGATTGTGGTATCCAAGTTAAAAAAAATGACGGGGATAGGCCTAAAGTTTCCAGATTGATATCTATAAATTCCTCTCAATCACGTCAAGCTTTCGGAATAGTAAGTTCATTTATCTAAACATAACCTTCTTTTTTATATATCTTTTCTATTATACTATTATTATATAAATCAAGATATTTTTGAATAATTTACTTTATTTTCTATAGGATAGCTTTGAAAACGATTCTTGTAAAATTTTGTTGAACTCAGAAGAACCACTTCCTCCTTCGAGTGGCACGTTGGCAATATCGGCAACAAGAGTTGAAAATGAAAACAATATTTTGGTAAAATTTGCTTCGCAAAGATTTTTTAATTATTTTTGTGAATTTGTGAAAATTATATACTTATTAAAATCTTTATTTAAATTATTAGCATAAAGATAAATTGGATGAGGCAATTACTGCAAAGGATCCTGCTTTGTGGGCTGAAAATATGTCCAAAGTAGAGCGCGATGCAGTTGTTCTTCAGGGGCCCCTCTAAAAATCCTTTATCTTTTCCGAGAGACTTAAACAAGATTAAGGTTCCTGAATCAGTTTTCCACGAAATAACTCGTAATGGGGAGAAAATAAACAGAGATTGGCTTGTTTGGAGTGCAACTTCAAAATCATTTCTTTGCTTTCCGTGCTCACTTTTAGGAAGCAAACAAGCCTGCGGGGCTGGTAATAATTCACATCTTCTACGTTGGAATGGTGGCATCAATGGAAACTGGAGAAAGCTAGCTGAAAAAGTAAAAGGCCACCAAAACAATCCTCACCATCGAGACAATTACATTAAGTGGAAAACAGCGCTGGAAAGCTTGGGAAATCAATGTGGGATTGATTCAAGTTTAGAAAAATTGATAAGAAAGGAGGCAGCCAGGTGGCGTGAAATTTTAAAGTGCATTTTAGATGTAATTCTCTTCTTAGCATCACGCAACCTTAGCTTCAGAGGTATATTTGTGAACATTAATTATTATATTTATGTTTACGTTATAATTTATTTTTACTATAATTAAACAGAAAGTCATGATTTATATGTGTAATTAAATCGGTGATGACGATAACGGGAACTTTCTTGCAACTCTAGAGCTACTTGCAAAGCACAACAAGACTCTTCAGTTACATCTAGAAGAGGTTTCTCGCTGCCAACAAGAAGGTAAACAAATTATTGCGCATTATTTGGGTTGGAGTTCTCAAAATGAATTTATAAAAGAGTGCGGAAGAATCGTCTACGGTGCCATCATTAAAGAGGCGCATATGGCAATTTACTATTCTATTCTTGTCGACGGAACGCCTGACGTCTCTCATACAGAGCAAATTGCATTTGTTCTCCGCTTTGTCTACTATGGTATTGATAAAAAATGGGTAGTTAAGGAGCGCTTTCTTGGGGTCGAAAGTCTCGATAAAAAGAAAGGTGTGGATATTGCTAAGCTAATTAAAGATGTCTTAAATCAAAATGACATTGATCTGAAGAACTGTCGAGGTCAGGGATATGACAACGGTGCTAATATGTCTGGTGTGTACAAAGGAGTACAAGCGATCATTCTTCAGAGAAATTCTCAAGCTTTCTACATGCCATGCAGCACTCATAACCTTAATTTAGCTGGTGTTCATTCACTTGAATCTTCTGTAGAAATGAAGAACTATTTCGGTCGTATTCAGTTACTCTACAATCTTTTTAGTGGAAGCCCTATACGATGGAAAATCTTGACCGAGACAACTGGTTTGTCTCTACATCAAACTTCACAAACCCGATGGAGTGCACGCATTGAGGCTGTGAAGCCTTTGGTTAAGCGACCCAGAGAAATTCTTTTATTCTTGATTTAACTGCTGATCTATTGATTGACGTAAAATCTTTAGAGAAATGGATTCAGTCATTTGAGTTTATTATCATGACAACCTTCTGGTTCAAAGCGCTGAAAGCAATAAACTATGTCAGCGTGTCATTTCAATCAGAAAACATTACTTTAGATGATGAGATGAAACTTATGAAGATTCTTATTGAGGATCTTACTAGACTTAGATCTTCTTGGCCCGAATTAATTAATGAAGCACATTTAGTCGCCTCCGGTCTAGCTAGTTATGGGTTTCAGTCAAAACTAGTTCAAAAAAGGACAAGAAAGAGGAAAACTTTTTACGAAGAAACAAGGAACGAAGTTCATTTCTTAGAAAACGATGAAAAACAGTTTGAGGTGAATGTATTCAACACCGCTCTCGATACATTAATTCAACAAATAAAAGACAGATTTCAAGCTGCAGAAAAGACAACTAACAGTTTTTCTTTTCTATGGCTCTCAGAATCTAATAGTAGGTCGAGTGAGGAAAAAGAAATTGAACAACCTAGCCTGGAGGAAAAATGTAAAACTTTGGCGCAAATGTATGTGAACGATGTAGATGAAGACAAACTTATTTTAGAGGTCCGTCATCTTGATACTCTAAAGCGTGCCAATCTTTTCGGTCCAAAAGAATATCTCACTTCAATGAAACTATTAAATGGAATTTATTAAAAAGGTCTAGAGTCTATCTTCGAATCAACATGCATTTTATTACGTATTTTTAACACAATTCCCGTTTCCATCGCCGAAGGAGAGCGGTCTTTCAGCAAGCTTGGTCTAGTCAAGACAACACTAAGATCTACAATGAGTCAAGACCGGCTTACCAATCTCTTAGTTATATCTATTGAGCACGATCTAGCAAAAAGTCTGTGCTACGACGAGGTCATTAAAAATTTTGCTTTAAATAAAGCACGGAGAGTCAAATTCTTATAAAGCATTTAAAATATCTATTACATTTAAAATTTACAGTTGCTCGCAATATAATAAAGTTAATTTGTCAACTTGTGCTTCTTTCTTTACCTTTTTTCAAACTTATTTAAAAAATATATAGAAGCCTTCTCGACTGTATTTACCTTCTCGGCCTCTTAAAGTGAGTTTTAAAAAGTAAAACTTAAAAAAAAACTTAGCATTTGGACAGTATCTAAATTTTTTTTGATTAGGTCAATATGACAGGGCGCTAGATAAATTTTGACCCCAGGCGTCATAAAGGGACACGGCGGGCCTGTATATATATATATATATATATATATATATATATATATATATATATATATATATATATATATATATATATATATATATATATATATATATATATATATATATATATATATATATATATATATATATATGTATGTATGTATATATATATATATATATATATATATGCATCTATATATATATATATATATATATATATATATATATATATATATATATATATATATATATATATATATATATATATATATATATATATATATATATATATATATATATATATATATATATATATATATATATATTATATATTATATAAAATTATTATTCAAAAATAAATCCAAGTGTTATAATAATAATATATATATATATATATATATATATATATATATATATATATATATATATATATATATATATATATATATATATATATATATATATATATATATATATTATGCTTTCTAAATATAGGAGTCGTACAAGTTGAACTTGATATTCACATTTTATCATTTGATAACCTGGATGAGAGCTCAATGGTTTGATGTTTACATATTTAATATTTTAATATTATTTTAAAAAATTAAATAATGATATTTTATACAAATTATTGGGGCCAAGATTGACTATGTTTTCTTCTTTCCAGAAAAAAGATGTGTTTAAACAATATTGATATAATATTGGCTAAAAATCGAGTTCATCTAAAAATAATTTACCTGAGGACCTTTTGTGACAACGTTTTAAATAATTTCACTAAAAACAATTCAGCAGCATCAAAATGCAGCATTTTATCGTAGCTTTTGTGTTTGAATGTATGTGTGTATTTGTATTTGTTTGTGTGTGCTTGTATCACATATTATTTCCAATATTATAATTACGTAAATAACCCGAACCAGTAAGACTTGTACGATGTAAACGTAAAAATCTTCAAAAAAACGATGGCTCGAACATAAAATGCTCTCAATGTGTTAAGTAAGCTGTCATAAGTTAAATATGATAAAAGCTAGTGAGTATTAATGCTACTTAAAACAAGCTAAAAACTTTTTGTGATGGGTTCTTAAATGAATATATATATATATATATATATATATATATATATATATATATATATATATATATATATATATATATATATATATATATATATATATATATATATATATATATATATATATATATATATTAGGGTGGGTCAAAAAAATTTTTTTTCTTGTTACAGACTCTAAACATTGCTGATAGTTATTAATATTGATACTATCAAATATGAGAATGATTGTGATAGATTTAAAGGGCGCAACTTTATTGGGAAAATTACCGGTACCCTAATATTTTGGAGAAAAAAAGTTTTTCAAAAGTAAGTCAACCTGGTACTCAAAAGAAGCGAAATTTTATAAATAATTCGAAAATAATAGTTGTTCTATAAAAATCATATTATCAAAAAAAATTGTTATTAAAAACATGTAAAAGTGTACCTTTTTCACTTTTAGTTAAAAAACTATAGTTATTATGCAATAAAATCTAAAATAATAATTTTTATATGAAAAAATTATTATTTATATAAAATTTCGCTTTATTTGAGTACCTACATCACATAATTTTCAAAAACTGTTTTTTTAATAATAATAGGGCCGGTTGATTTTTGTAATTATAGTTGCGGGTGGAAGACATTGTTCAATTCATAAAAGTAAATACTTTTTTAAATTAGTACATAAAAAAACAACTTTCTAGACCATAGCCAGGTTAGCAACTCTAAAAAAAAATTGTATGACCCACCCTAATATATATATATATATATATATATATATATATATATATATATATATATATATATATATGTATATATATATATATATATATATATATATATATATATATATATATATATATATATATATATATATATATATATATATTTATATATATATAGTTAAGCATTGAGAGCCCGAGCGTTCGAATTATTTACAAATGGATTGTTAAAAAAGTTAAATCAAACTTGGCAGTTACTATTAATTTTGCATATTTAATTTGGCATTTAATGAAGTTAGACCAGTTTTAGTTTAACGCATCTTGTCATATATTCAAAGAGTTTAATTTTACAGGTTTTTAAACCTCTGCTAAAGAAGGAACTCTGTGAATGCCTTTATTTGCCTTAGCAGCACAGCTGAATGAATGATTCTTCTACTTTAGGTCATTAAATAGATAAACATATAGTTCTTTTTTTTCAATGTTGTTTAGTCCAGCTGAATAATTTTGATTAGCCGTGTGAGTTTTTAATTCACCAATAAAGTAGAGCTGAGCAATAAATTTGGATTAACGAACTTTACTCCACTAATTGGTGGCCAAAAAAATACAAGCAAGAAGAAGAGTTTTGTGAAGTAAAGTGAGTTTAGGCCAGAGTTGGCCTAAATGTTTTTCTTATCTAAAAATATCATAACCCAGAAAAAATGGAGCAAAGAATTCTTTAGACCAGGTCTGGGGCAAAAATAACATTGTAGCTTTTTTGTAAGCAACAGGTAACAACTGGTAAAACTGGTATACAACCAGTTTAAAAAGTTGATGATTTTGGGTTTAATGTTTGATGGTCTGGAATTTGCTACTTTATTGACGGATAGTTGTTGTTGATTGTGATGGTTAAGTGTATACACTCTCTTGACTGTTAGTTGATATTGTATCTTAGATCATTTTATCTTTTGTTGAATTAAATCATTAATATATATATATATATATATATATATATATATATATATATATATATATATATATATATATATATATATATATATATATATATATTTACATATATATATATATATATATATATATATGTATATATATATATATATATATATATATATATATATATATATATATATATATTTAATCTTAATTTGATTTCCTTATCTAAGTTGTACTTTTACGGTTTTGAGGGTTTCTTATGCAATCGCTATATTTTATTGAAACTTTAAATGGATGCTCTATAAAAAGATTGCAATAATGTATTGTTATCCTCATCTATATTGACTCCCTGTCTGTTTAATTCTTTTTTGAATAAAGATGATTGGAAAAAAGTGGGTGCCTTTTGTGAATTTTTAACACCAAAAACAACTATTTTGATGGCTTTTATGTTTTTAAAATTTTAGTCATAAGAGTTAACGATTGTTCTGATTTTAGTTACATCAAGGTGATATGAGTTTAGTAATGTGTATGTGATGTATAAAAGGTTTCTTATTTTAAAGATACTCTAGTTGCTCTGTCAAAAGTGGATGATTGCAATGACAGCAGTAGCTGACGAGATAACAAACTTTTTTTTTTTAAACATGAATTTTAGTTTACACATACTTCGTTTAAAAAAAAATAGTTTTTTTTAGAAATACAACATGGATTTTTATTTTTCGCAATATTGGTATGATGAAAGACTAAAAATTTTTCCAGAAATTCCAGATTGTTCCGTTAACATTGTTGGAAAAAGTGTGGAAGATTTCTGGATGCCTGATACTGTGTTTGTGAACTCGAAAGCAACCAATTTCCATTTTGTAACTGTAGAAAACCGATTTACTACTGTAAATCTATCAAATGGAATGATTTTACATCATGCAAGGTAACATTTACATTGTGCTAGCATAAGTTTTTGAACCAATTGGATTTATAATATTATTTATTATTTAGAACAAAGTAAAAAATAATTTTATAATAACAAGCTTTTTTTAATAGAATAAGTCTTGTTGAACCACTTTGCGCGTCTCTAACAACTTCCATGGAAACTTTTGAAATTTTAATTTTTCTGAAATAATATATATATATATATATATATATATATATATATATATATATATATATATATATATATATATATATATATATATATATATATATATATATATATATATATATTCGGATACTATATTCGGATACTATATTCGGATATTATTAATTTTAACACCAAATATTTATTGTTGAAATTACAAAAAACATGAATAATACTATTTTGACTAAAATAAACCCAAAATTAGTTAAAATAAAAAATAAATAAAGTTTTAAACTTCTCCAGTAAAAAAAAATGTACTGTAGATACGCGGTATTATAAAATGCTAGTTACGCGGTTTTGCACTATCCCCGGCGATATATATGTATACATATAGGGAGATATGTAACATATAGGGAGATAGATAAACTATATATAAATTATATAGTTTATCTTAATACTAATAGATTATGTAAATAATTACACTAAGCTTTTCAACTCATTGAAAATGTCCTTAACATATCTCTTTTAATGGCGTTTTTTACTATCTAAATGGCAAAATAAGATAGTGAAATATAATCACAATGTTGCAAACTATCTTAGTTGGTTATATAATCCATAAAATATGTTAAAAAGTACGCATCTTTTTAACTTAGCTAACAATTCTTAGCTAGACTGATCAATCATCTAATATGTAAGTTGCTAGATCAAAGTCAGTTTTCGAACGCAAACTTAATAACTTTGTAAAAATGAATTTTATGGTGATGGTCGTAGTAAGAATTTTTATCGGTTGAAAGAATACATCAGGCCCGTAGCAACGTAGGAGGTGGGGGGGGGGCTATCCCTACCTCCCAATAATTTTCGAATAAGTAATTTTGGAAAAATCGAATGAAAAAATGACAAAAAAAAATAAAGGTCCTTAAAACTTTTTCGAGTAGTACTACCACCCCCCCCCCCATATAATTTTTATTCCTACAGGCTTGTAGGAATAAAAATTATATATTGTATAATCCTACATGGTAATATACTTGTTTCAAAACTAGGCTGTTAGTCATTTGCGAAGAGAGTTTGATCAAACACAGCCTTATAAACTTTTTTTTAGACCCAGTTTTGTATTGTCATGTGATAAAAATGAACTCAAACCTAGACTAACTAAAGCCAGTTTACAAACTATTCAGCTCCAAATAATTACTTGATAAAAACAACCACGGTCTTAATCAAAATGAGAGTCTTTTATAATAAAGCTCCAAATAAATTTTAGTTTATTTTCATCTGGTTGCATACGTTATAACGTTATAGGTTTTGGCATATTACAGCCTCAGCAATTAAAAATAACTAGTTTTTATTCCAATATTAACATTTTTAAAAATTGATAATTTTATGGCTAATATTAATTTTGACAAAAAAAAAATTACTTTTAAGAAAATTTTTAATTTAAAAAAACTGAAAGTAACTCTTGTTTAAGTCGGGGGGGGGGGGGTGATGATGTAATAAATAGTAAAAAAAAGAGATTTTTTTTTTAGAAAATAGCGATTACAATAAAAAAAAAAGGAATTTGTAGCAGATTCTAAAAAATAATTCAAAAAAACTTAAAGGTGAGGACTTAATAAGAGTATTAAAATTTAACCATATATGGCAACATCAACATAGTAAAGACAATAAAGTATACTTTATATCGATAGCTATTTAATTATAATATTAACACAACTACACCAAATGATTATAGTTTTTGTTGTTGTTATTATATAATGGTTCTTATACTATATAAGTATTTTATGAATTGATAAGTGATTAACCAAAAAGGTAAAGTTTTTTTAAGCAGCTAGTTTAGATACAAATATTTTTAAAGATTTTTATTTAAAATTGTTTATTTTAAATATATTGATACCAAAGTATGTTTTTCCCTTTATTTATAAAGTATAAAAAAATTGAAAATAAAATTAGAAACATGAACAACAACGACGCAGTGGTTAGAGTCAAATCAGAATTAAAATGATTCAAGGTTTAATGTTGGTTTCGGCCATTTATCCGATAATGGTAAGGAAGTGGGGCATCGACTTCTTAATTAAATGCTTTTCTGCGATTTTTTGAGACAAAATTGTTAGGTTTTTATGGAGCACTGTGATAACCCGAAGAAAAAAACTAAGTTGAAGTAAAATAATATAAAAGTTTGATCTAATACTCTATAAAATTATCTTATACACAATATAATTTATTATAATTTATAGCATTTTTACGCTTGCAGCAAGCCTGTTTTTTAGCGCAGTAGCCAGCTTTTTTTGAGGTTCGTAGCAAACATTTTTTCAGGCCCGCAGCAAGCTTTTGGAAACTAGTAACTTTTAAAAACTTTTTAAAGTCGAGAGATTATATGAGAAGTTTTTGTGTTTCCAAGCTACAATCATCGCACTTATTTACATTTACCATAAACATAAACGTACACAAGGTAGGAGTTGGATTTATGTCTAAAGGCTATCTTCATGTTAAAATCCATCAAATGCTGCGTATGCTTAAAAAAAATTTTTGTCATTGAGATGTAAATCTGTGATCAGTTCTCTTTTTGGCTTACGTTTGGTCACATCTGGAACTTAGGGTACAGACCTTGTATTTTTTAACTCTTAAGAAAATCAGAATCAATTCATTTAGACAATTACATTTGCAAAGCAATTGACTTTTGAAAAACTTTTAAGCAACCCTTGTATCACAGTTTTAAAAAAGCGCACAGTGGGCCAGAGGTGAGCAAACCCCCTTAAAATCAACTTCTATATTGCAGTAATTTCTTTTTATAAATGTAATTTAGAGACCCCCAGCACTCTAAAACTGATATAACTTTTTCCCTACTATAATTTTTGAGCTCAGTATATCAATTTTACCACGAAAAATGCAATATTTTTCCTTTCAAATTTTAGTCAAAGTGAAAAAATTATTTAAAAAAGAAATATGAGGCCAGTAAAACAATTTTATAACATTTTTATTTCTTATCGGCATATATTAGTTTATAGGCATCATATATTGAAATAAGAAAAAGAAGTATAAAAAAATATATTAACGCTTGCATTTTTTTTTGAGTGTTTTAAAGCCTTTGAGATGCGCAGCCTTTTTTTTTCATGCTTAACTTTACACAAGGAGAAAAAAAAGGCTGCACTAATCCGTACATGTGGCTAACTTTAAATTATACTTTTGTGTATATATAATGATTTAAAATCAAATTTTCTGAGCTCAGCAGAGCGCAGAAGATGCTAGACTTGTTATTATAAATGATATCCAACCAGCCTTAAAAAACTGAAGGTGACGGCCCCAAATTAAAAACTAAAATGATCGGCCCCAAACTTTTAATTAATTAGCATTTGTTAAAATCTTTTTTAAATAGCACATTTAATGTTGTTGCGGAAATTTATGGAACATTTTATGACGGCTATGTGATTTTAGTTTATTTTTTTTATTATTAGTAATTATTTTTATTGCGTTGAAGCGGTTTTTTAATGTAGATTTTTTGTGGATTATTTTACTATGTTACTTTTAGGTAGCATATGTAAAAAGATGATTTATGGAAGATATTTATTATTTCGTGTTAATCTATGCAAAGATTTTTTATGTAAAAACAATAGTTCAGTTTAGTAAAGAGAAATTTATTTACAAGAAAAAAAGAATTTTTTATTATTCGTTGTGTTGAAAGTGGGAAAACTACATTATCTAGTACTTTTAATTCCGTCTAAATAACTTTTCTAAAATGCCGTTTTCACTCAAAAAATTGTGCTTCAAATGGAACAAATGTGCTATGTTCATTTAAATAACCCCTAAAAATGGATTTGTGAAAAGTAGTCATTTCATACATGTTTTACACTAAAACAATAGAAAACACTTCACAATGAAATTCTATTTTATTAAGTTTGTGTAGCCCAGAAAAACTATAATTTTTTGATAAAAATGGTTGGCAGCTACAATATTAAGATGACTGTAATGAGGAAAAAGCAGGGAAAAGACCTCAATCAACCTGGGGAGGCCAAGGAACTCTTAATGTACTAATGTTTAATGTACAAATGTTTAATGTATTTCATTAACTAGATTCAAACATGCTATAGCGGGTTTTAAATGGACCTATATAGACATTTTGAACAAACCGCTGTAGTTTTGCTCATCGGTTACTTAGTGGACCATTAGTGGCAGTGCCAAAAGTGACCAGCCGATGACTAGCCATTATTAAAATGTCGGAAAGTTATTGGCTAGCCATTTATAACGGCTATCACTAATGGTCAAACTAAGTAACCAATAAGCAAAACTCCTATGAACCGCTAAATAAATGTCTATATAAGTCCACTGCAAATTCACTTTAACAAGTTTTGCTGGGATGTTTATACTCACAATAATAAAGAAATTGAATAAATAAAAATAAAAAAAATACCGTCTTAACAACCCTAAAATGACTACGCCTAAAATGACTATCTGTACAATCATAACCACTCGTGGAGACCAACTATGCCCAGTTTGAATTACCCAACCTCAATTGCCTATATTTAGACATATAACTGTATTCATTTGAAAAACCACTGAGACATTTCAGGACCACTCTTGACCACCCCTAAAATGATCACCTGTACGGTTATGACCACTCCTAGAGATATTGTATGTCCAGATTTGAATTTCCTAATCACCTATTTTTAGACATACAACATGGTCCATCTAATTGAAAAACCATTGAGACATCTTAGCAAACGGTTGGGTTTAGAAAAAGGTGGAAACTGTAACCGGTAAAGCGGTTATTTGTTAAGTTTTCTTGAAACCAAAAACCGATTTTTTTTTCTAACAGTAATTTGAGGTATTTTGTAAAAATTTTTTGTTTTTTTTTGTTGTTGATATTTTCGTTCGTTGTTAAAACAAAGATAGACTACACAATCTTAATAATATACGTAAATAGTATACGTAAATATTACGTAATAGTATTACGAAATTTTGATCCTTTTATTACTCTTTCTATTTTTAAAACTAAATCAAAAAATTTATTCGATCCATCTAAAATTCTACTAAAAACGTTTGTAAATGTTATCTGTTAAATCTTCAGCATGTTATATATTAAATGTTAGTATGTTTTATATTTGCATTATATTAAATCTTTCTATATATTGTGCGGCCGTGGCGCAGTGGTTAGAGCGCTTGCTTAGGTTAGAGCGCGGTGCTCCGTGACAAGACCGTTAGGTCTTCTTTATATATATATATATATATATATATATATATATATATATATATATATATATATATATATATATATATATATATATATATATATATATATATATATATATATATATATATATATATATATATATATATATATATATATATATATATATATATATATATATATATATATATATATATATAACAATATATATATATATATATATATATATATATATATATATATATATATATATATATATATATATATATATATATATATATATATTTATATATAACATCTTTACTTTTTAAGGTTCCGATGATATGATACTTATGATCTTCTTTCAGAAACCTAGCTTTATATTGTATACTGAATTGTATATATTTTATAAAAGTCTTTTATGTTATTATGCATCTCGAAAAAAAGGATTAGAAAGGAAAAAAGAAGCAAGAAGAAAAATAAAAAATGATCCAAATTTATCTAATTCCTGTACATCAATTCTGAAGGTTACCTTGGATTTATACAGAAATAATAACAGATCGCTTTTATAATAGAAAAACGGAAGAAAAACTGATTAACCGGTTTTACAATTAAAAAAAAAACGAAAACCGTTTTTTTGAAATTTTTTAATTTTTTCCAAGTCCTATCCTTGACCATCCCTAAAATGACCATTTGAGCGGTCGTGACCACTTCTAAAGACCGATTATGCTCAGCTTTAATTTTCCTGACCGCAACTACTTAAATTTAGACATAAAAAATGTATCATCTATTTTTAAAATCATCGATTTTTAAAATAGATGATACATCCTAAGATCACCCTTGACAACTCTAAAATGACCAACTGTGTGGTCATGATCACTCCAAACTTAAAATGAAGCCTGAAAAAAGTTCCTTGGCCTTAAAACCCCTATAGACATAAATCCTATGTCTATATTTACCCTATAAACAGTTTTTTCAAACAATTCTGACCCACTGTGCAGTGGCAGTTTTAAAAAACACATAACTGGTGAAAAGAAGACTTGCTTTCAACACTAAATCGCGTTACACAAACTCAAAAAAAGCTTATGTTTAGAAAAGGGAAAGCTCAAGATTGTATAATTTTATTTTTGATGTAAACTTGAAGAGTAAAGTTATACCAAACCAAACCAAGCATGAACTAATCCAAAACCTAGCTTGTCTGAGCAATTATACAAAGTTAATAACTTCCTAAAAGTTGGTTCTCCAAGGTGGGATGTACTAGGTTACAAAATATAGCAAAGAATAATTTTAAAGGTAAAAGAATCAAAAAGAAAAATAATTACAATAAAGTTATACCAAACTTTGTAATAGTCTGTTTATTTTTTTTTTTGTGCCAAAGAATTACTTTTTTTAGAATTTCATGTGCTATTTTAAGCCTCCAAGCTTCTTGTTTTTCTTACTAAAATATATCCTGGGTTCCAAGGCAACAAATATCATATTTACGTTGGTGAAGCTAAGATCAATCAAACTAATAAAGTAAAAGGCGAAAGAAATTAAATATATATTTTTTAATTTGTTATTTAGGTGCCCCAAGAAGACCTAACGGTTATAATTTAACCAGGAAGTTCACACCTCCTTCCTTAATGTGACTCGAAATATGTCCAAATCTCGTTTTGAACCTGGATCTCCTGCTTATAAAGCAAGCGCTCTAACCACTGCGCCACGGCCGCAAATATGAACAATAAAGTAATACATCAACGTAGTGAATTACAGAGCTGAACCAATGGAATAATTTAATGGAATAAATTTATAAATCAAAATATGTTTATGAAGTTAATTAAGGAATAAACGGTGAAAAATGAAATAATAGTAAAAATTAAACTCATAAAAAAGTCGCTTTATAAATTAAGCTGAGAATATAATAAATAAAAATTGTAAAAGTTTAAATTAAAATAATTTGAAAATTTTAATATAAAAATAATTTTAAGGTTTAATTATTTAAAAACCATAAATGCATGCAGTAGAATTCATTTTACAAATATTATGTAAAATATTTGTAAAAATATTTTTTTTTTTAGATATATTTAAAAAGTTTCTTACTGAATTAATAAAATTCATTTTTGACTAGAATAACCACAACTGCATCTTGTCGAATGGATTTTAAAAATTATCCTTTTGATGAGCAAACCTGCTATTTAGCAATTGAAAGCTGTAAGTTTAAACTGTTTTTTCTATTTTAACAACAAGTTTCTTTTTTTAAGTAATATTTTAAACTTTATAAAAATTAACTAAGTCTTACTTTACCCGCATTAAAAAAAGGTCTTAGAAAATGTACTCTTTCTACTACTCTATTGTTAAACTTATTTTTTAAATATATATCTACTTTTATATCAAAGTTATTTTTTACCAGATGGCCATGATCAGTCATATATAGTTTATAAATGGTATTTAAATGAAAATTTAACTGATGAAAAGTACATTGCTGTTCATGATAAAGAAATGGCAAACTATGACGTCACCAGTGCTTTTAAAAGCTACGAAAAGACTCCTCATCACGAAAGTAAATTTTACAAAGTATTATTTTGTAACTCACGTAATAACATTTTAAAATTATGGGCGGAAAATATTTGTTTAATAGCTGATAATTAGTTTTAAAAAACAAAAAAAAAGTGAATGAGTTGTTAATAATTTTATTAGAAGAAAAAGTCAATAAGTCTCATTGAAACGCCCTTTTTTTATCTTTTTTTTTTTAATTTTTGTTTTTGATAAATTAAATACCACTTAAAGTTATTTTTGTTTAAAATACTAATTGTTATTAACGTCTCATTTACATTTCCTTGTAATAAAATATTAATGTCTCATTGAGATGTTAATATTTTAATACAATTGTAATAAAATATTAACGTCTTATTGAGGCATAAAAAAATTTTAAGAAAAGTTATAAATATTTTACTTCGTGGACTTTAGAAGAAAAAAAAAGATTACGTTTACAAAATAAATTTTAATTTTAAATTAAATTATACTTATCAATTAGAAAATAAAATTAAGTTAAAATGAAATAGCATCAAGGCCGGCGCGATATGGGTGTGGGGTGGTGTAACACCCCTCCCCCCCCCCCCCATCAATGACTTTTAGTTGGCAAATTTGACCCTTAGTCGGCAAATGTGAACCTTTTTGACTAGTTAGTCGGCAAATGTAGACCCTGTCGATAGGTTAGTCGGTAAAGTCAGTCGGCAAATGTCGTTGTGGCAGTCGGTAAATTTTAAAAAACGAGGACCTTTTGTGGCGTGACCCCTACTCGCGCCGGCCCTGAATAGCATAGATTTATTATTTAGTATAGTTTTATTATATAGTTATATTTAATTCATATAAATATAAGTTATATTTAATTTATAGTTTTGAACTGCTTTTAAATTTGTACGAATCAAATATATATATTTTTTAATAATTTAAGAAACTTTACTTAATTTTGAAAACATTTTAATCTACTCATATTTCGGGAGAATGAAACATGCATTTGGGAGAATGAAATATGCATTGGGTAATTAAAGAAACATTTAATTAAAAAAGCAACCTATGGTAAACAATTAAAAAAAGCAAACAATGGTAGAAATTAAAAAACAACCAATAATAATCATTGAAAAACAAGTAAGTAATAAACTTTTTTTAATTATTCTTGTGATGATGTGAAAAAGTTCATGAGAATGAGTTGAGTTATCGTCGAACACTTTTCGAAGCGTCGAACACTTTTCGGTCCAATAAAACCAGGTGCTTTTATGTATTTGGTATGCATGTTTAGCAAAGCCAAACCTTGCATTTTGAATGTTCCTAATAATACCATTCACTACTTAGACTTGTTGAAAGCTTTATTCAAAACTTACGGCAGTTTTTACATTTGACTTATTTGATGTTGTTATTGCTGTTGTTGATTGATTTGTTTTTTGCTAATCATCAAAGTTAAGCTTATGTTGTTTCCTAGCTACTTTTATTGCGGCAACTTTTGATCTCTAGATTACTACAGGTTTATTGAGACCTTTTCCTCCCCTTGAATTTTGGGATCAAATATTTACGAGTAAAATTTGAATACAAATATTTAGTCTCATTCACTGCGTTAACAATAAGCGTTTTTTACTTACTCAATTTTGAAATAAGATTTTTGACCAGTGGTAAAAATTTATACAAACTTATATTTTAAGTTCACTAATAATAAATTTCACTTCATAGTTCTTAGAGTTTTATGCTTTTGATTTTTTATTTTTTTTACGGGTGTATTTTACGGGTGTAACTTAACAAATAATTAAAAAAATTGTTTATTTCTTATTAAAATTTTATATTATTTTTTATCAAAATTTAAAAAATATTTTTCTCAGAAAAACGTTCTCTGGCAGAAAACCTTTGCAATATTATTGAAAAATGTTTCCAAACATTCATCATATCCTCTGTTTCATTCCACCCTAACTCATCAATTCCGCTATTTCATTTTTTAATCTGATACAAGCTTGGTTTTTATGCAATTAAAACCATTTTATTTATTATTTATTTTTTGAATACTTTCTTTTAAAAAACTTTTTGAGATAAATATTTTTTATTAATATTGCTTTTTTTTTATTATTAATTAACTAGTTCTAATAGTATAATTATTAATAATAAAAACAAGAATAATTATTAATTAACTAGTTCGCCATGTTTCCCGGCCGATATTTCCAGGCCAATATTTCCAGGCCGATGTTTGACTAGTTATATGTTACTTTAGTTAGTTAATTAACTTGTTATATGATAATTTATTATATTTTAGTTTTTTTTAGCCAATATAAACTATAAATATACTTTAACTATACATTTAGCATCATTTTCAAGTGCTACAGCAAAGTTTACATTTCGCCGGCGCCGAGAGTACTTTATTTTGCAAATTTACTTACCATGTGCGGTAATTGTGGCAGTAACCTGGGTATCATTTTGGATTACACCAGCTGCAGTTCCTGCGCGTTGTGGTATCTTAGTGACATCTTTACTAACGCTGATCACAATGCTTAGCATTACTAACGCAAGTATGCCAAAAGTTGGGTATATAAAAGCATTGGACTTGTATTTGTTTGCGTCACTTATCTTTGTTTTTTTATCTTTGATTGAATATATTTTAGTTCTCAACACCTCGCATAAAAAAAAGAGAACAAGCACTTATAAAGAAGTATTTTTTTTTAATAATTATTTTATAAAATGGTAGTTCAATATTAATTAAAATCGATATTAAATTTAAGATTAAGAATATGTATATATCTATACGCACACACACACACACACACACACACACACACATATATATATATACACATCAAACATTCTATAGCGAAATTTCAGTGGACTTTTATAGGCATTTTGAGCGGACCGCTGTAATTTTGATCATTGGGTACATTGGGTACTTAGTGGAATATTAATGGCAGCCTCCAAAAGTGGCTAGCCGATAATTAGCCACTAATAATATGTCGGAAAGTTATCGGCTTGCCATTTATAGCGACTGCCCCTAATGGTCCACTAAGTAACCGATGAGCAAAACTTCAATGAACCTCAAAAAAATACTTTTATAGGTCAACAGCAAATCGACTAAAACGGTTTTTGAAGGTGACGTTTAGATTAGATTATAATGAGAATAGTAACGAGTCCTCCATAAATTACATCACACAAATTTTGACAGACTAAATTTTAACGAATTTTTAATTAATTCCAAGTACATGCACATTATTAAAACGTGTTGTTATTTTATTAATAACATTTTATTAAACGTGTTTAATTTTTTAACAATAAATAAATAACTTTAAAAAACTTGTTTCAGGGAAATTTATTTATTGGTTCGCAATTGAAGTCAGATTACAAATTTTCGGATATAGTCGATTTTTCAAAAAACATCCAAGAAAAAGCAGATTTGATCAATGATTTTATTGATTATTCGAAAGATGCTACATTACTTTACCAGCAGTTGCACACAAAAAAAATAAGTCAAAACGAAAGACCAGAAGAAATTCACATTAAATGCGAGAGCCGAAAATTGCTCAATGAAAAGCTAAAGATAAAATTTAAAAACCGAAACTCAACATTTTTTTTAGAAAACGAAATTGTCGAGGTTGAGATTGCTCCAAAAGACGAAAATATTTCGTTTTCTGCAATTGATTACTTTGCTCGCGTTTTTTATCCTTTTTTATTCATTAGTTTTAATGTATTCTACTGGTTGTTCTATTATAGAAATTGAAAGGCAAAGGTCTTCATTTTTAATGTTATAACGAACAAAAGGCGTATTTAACACTTTTTAATGGTACTTAACACGTTTTAATGGTGTTAAAGCGTATTTAACACGTCTTATCATTATTGGCATTTTAATCTTATTGTCATTATTAATTTATTATTTTATTGTCATTATTAATTTATTATTTTATTGTCATTATTAATTTATTATTTTATTGTCATTATTAATTTATTATTTTATTGTCATTATTAATTTATTATTTTATTGTCATTATTAATTTATTTAACACGTCTTGTCATTATTGGCATATATTAATTTAGAATAAAAAATATTTAACATATTTAAAAAGCATGTAAAATAACACAAAATCAGAGATTTTGCGTATTTGTATATATACATATACATGAAATGCATAAAAATATTTTTTCTGTTATACACAAGTTTTTCTGTTATACACAAGAAAAAAAACTTTTCTGTTATACGCATGAAAAAAAAAAAATTTTTATTTGACTGAGGAAGTAATATAACAAATTATACTTTGAAATTTTCAAAATAAATTTATTTAGAAAAATCTTGTTTTCACAAAATGTTTACTTTTTCATCAGAACAATATTTTTTTTACAACGTTTATGTTTCATTAAAAATATGTCGACTATTATCGCACCACCATCCCCCGTAAACCATAATCATTTATCCCGGAAATCTAGTGGAACTTGACAATAAAATACTAAACAAACAAACACTTGTATTTTCACAATCAAGACTAATGCTAAAGTGAAGAGTTGCTAACACGTGTTCTTCTATTAAACAGAAGAAAAATAGCATAAATATACTATTTCTTTCAATATTTGTATTTTATTTATTTCAATACATTTTGTTAAATGATTAAAAGAATAACGATACTTCACCTCGACGTTTAGTTAACGATAATCTTGAACAATTTTAATCTTAACAACTTCTGTTATAAAGGTAATTTTTAAAATCATATTAACAAACCTTTAAAACAGCAGCCATCTCAGGATAATGAGCCAGTTATGAAGTAAATAAACGTTGATTTAAAATAGGCATTTTAAAAATTGTTTTGCTTAAAGCTTGAACATTACAACAGAGCACCGTGTTGCGGTTGCTGTCGCAAATACGGTACTTTGTGGAAGCAGTTCCTATTAAACAATGCCAAGATCGTCCCACAAAACCAAAAGCAATACCTTTATGGGTTGTCACCTGATTTTTTAAATCAGTTTAGGTGGTTTTTTTAGCCCTTGCCACTTCTGGTAATGACATGGTCAAGCCAATTAAACTTGCGGTGCAAAGATAAATGTTTTGTGTAAGTGTTTTAGATTTGTTTAACTTGATTAGAGTACAAACTAAAACTTTGTGTGATACTCAAACACTGAGATCTTTTCACTAAGTGCATGCAGTATTCTATAATACCAAGAACGCATCTAAATTCGCCGCTAAACAGTGTGTAAAAATAGTAGATGACTCATTGAGTACATTACCGTTCATAAAAATAGAAAGATCTAGATTGCAAAAACGATTGGCTATCGAGAGCGATAGCCTTAACCTCTCCACATCTATCTAATGCACGATAAAACCGATTGGTTATTACCGTTAGCAAATTGGCTGTGAAACGAGCAGATCAAAATCCATATTGATGATCAGAAAGTAAATTATTAGATTCAAGATGAGAGATTAAGTGTTTGTTAATTAAAAGTTCAAAAACCTTGCTCATGATAGGAAAAAGACTAATGAAACGGTAGTTAGATGAGTCAGATCGCTCTTCAGAGTTCTTGAAAATAGGGATAACAGATGCCGCTATCCAGCAGGCCAGAAAATAAGACTCTGATAAACACTTATTAATTAGTTTAGATTAACACTTCTCCAAGTCTATAACAGGTATGTTGTCCGGACCACAAGCTGTAGAAGAGTCTAAGCAGGAAATCACTTTAAATACAAAAGCTGAAGTGATATGAATGAATCAACCTGTTTGTCGGCTATATCAGGTAGAACACAACTAGTTCAACCAAAAAATAATATTGATGCGACGTTCTTAGCAAACAATTCAGCTTTGTCTTTAGGCAAGGTGATAAAATCTGAACTATACAAGAGAGGTGAAGTAACAGATTTGCCCATATTATTGATACTGTTAAAGATTCTCCAGATATCACGAGAGCCTAACTTTTGAGATAAAATACAAAATATCATGACTTGAAAATAGCAGGTTTAGACGTTAGATAAAATCTTTTTAAATGGTTTCTAGCTAAAGTAAACAGACGTCTGTTGTCCGTGAAATTTTTTTTGTGATATATATGGAATTTATGGTGACGACTGAAAATTGCAGCAGCACAATGAGAGGAAAACCATGGATAAGAGTGAAGCTTGAATTGAAATTTTTGAAGGGAAATAAAAGATTCTATGCCTGCCTGAATCCAAGAAAGTTACATAAGAAGCACATTTGTCAGCAGGAAGACAAAAGATTTCTACTCAAGGGTCATCACGATGAAAGTTAGGGAAAAAGCTCCAGTCAGCTTTAGGGTAGTTGTTAGAGGTACGATAATAGGGGGATACTGATGATGAAAAAGAATAAAATAATAGTTTTAGAAAGATCAAACCGTGATCAGAAGCACCTAAAGGTAAATGTGGAGAAAATGAGCACTGACTAGGATCAGAAACAAGACATAAGTCGAGTAGAATCTGGTAAACGAGTTGGAAAGTTGACTGTTTGAGTTAGAGATTGAGATAGGCAAAAGTTGTGGACCTTAACACCTGCATAGTCACTGACACTTGAGCCAAGCCATTCAGTGTGATGAGCATTAAAGTCATCCATAACAAAGATATTGGCTGATGGATAAAGAGAGAGGCCTGGGTTAATTTGATCAGAAATAACATCGAAAAGAGTGCAGTCTTGAGATGAAGGAAAGCGATATAGAAAAAGGAGAAGTGCAATAGAGTAAAATGGTGCTTAACAAAATTACGTAAAAGAATAGTCGGTGGGTTCAAACCTAGTATTCCGACAAATGGGTGAATTCTTACAAATGTAAATGCCCAGACCAAGCGTGTGATTATAGGAGTCTTTACAAGTTAAAAAAAGATAATCATCAACACTAAGATCACAAGATGAGACAGCCGAACTCAAATTAGTCTCACAAAGAGCAAGTAGGTCTGGTAAACTTAGCAAGAGATAAGACTCATAAGAAGAAAAGTTACAACGAATATTAGTGATTTAGAAAACTTGTTGAAGACGATGGTTTTTTGTGTTTTATAGTTATTTTGGTCATTTTTAAATTTGATTAAAGAACTTGACTCAAAGCATAAATAGAACTTAGTACACCATTTAATAGTCCATACAATTGCCTCATCACTAATAAAAAAAAACCCTAAGTTGTAACAAAGGGCTCTAAATGTAGCCTCAACAATGGAAATCAAAATTACAAACAGGGACACCATCCATGCGAAACATGGCAGTGAGTTTTTTTAGTCGAGACACTATCTCTAGCCTTTACTCAACCAAGAACCCTAAGGCAGCTATGTTTTAAGTCGGAGTTGGCTTCTCCTAGCCTTGCTTAAAAAAGCGTATCCTACAAAGCAGCAGGACATAAAGCAGGTTGTACTGGGTTACATGTTACCAGTAGAAAGATAACCTGAACTGAATATATATATATATAATATATATATATATATATATATATATATATATATATATATATATATATAATATATATATATATATATATATATATATATATATATATATATATATATATATATATATATATATATATATATATATATATATATATATATATATATATATGTATATATACATATATATATATATATATATATATATATATATATATATATATATATATATATATATATATATATATATATATAAACTGAAATAATATAAAAACTGTATAATGTAACATGGGCAAATAAAGTAAATAAATTTCCTGAACGAATGCCCATAATAAATACAGTGGTAAGCGAAACGAAGGAAAGAGAAAAAGGAGAGATTAAAAGTAATTTTTGGAGTAAAAGCTTCAGTTTTTTTGCTTTCTTTGAGACTTTTAGAAGTTGAAATACTTTTGAGTAGAAGAAGACTAGTTTAGTCTTATCACCAAGCCCCTTTAAATAAAACTGACAATATTAAAAATACAAAGCTAAGTAACTCGTTAAATAAACGTTAAATAAAACGTCGCGTTAAAATAAAATAACGTTAAATAAAATGTAACGTTAAGTAAAAATAAAATAAAATACATTTTACGCTATGTTAGAGTGTAATATATCCAAAAGTATAAGAACATTTTATTAATTAAATTCATTTTTTCTAACTGGTTTTAGATTTATAAACCTTTTGAAATTAGATCATAAAATAACAGATAACACACGAATAACAAACAAAACAAAAAACAATCATTTTTAAAAACATTTTTAATAACTTAATGTGTCTTTTATATATGTTTTTTTTTATATGTTTTTTATTAAAGTTTATTATATAAAATAAAAAAACAAAAAAAAAGAAAAAAAGAACGTCATAATGTACAAATTGACTAACAGTGTATACAGAATATATATTTAAACCATATTTATAAAGAAATAAAATAAATAGACAAACGTGATTACTCCTAGTCAAAGGATTCAGAAAAATTTTAATTCGTTGTCATTTACAGGTAAAAGTACAGGTAAAAGTAAGTTGCAACCTCTTTACCGCCATCAGAAACATACAATGCGAATAATATATTTTTTAAATCGTTTTTCAAATACAAAACCTCTATTTAAAGATATGAATGTATTAAACGTTTATGAACTTAACTTGTACAATATTTTATGTTTCACGTTTTGTTGTATGAATAACCCCTTATTTCATGTTTTTAAAGCTCTATTTACCTTTAAAGTAAAGAATAAATATAGTTTGCGAAATAATAACTATTTAAAAGAATCCTTTTGTCAAACAAAAATTATCAATTTTTTATAGATTATTGAGCACCTTATATCTGGAATAAAATTGTACAGCCTAATTTAGATTCATCTATCTCTTTTTCTGTTTTTAAAAACAAGTTAAAGAATATAATTTTTTCTACGGATAATATATTGAAATATTTTTGAGATATTATTTTAACCATTTCTTATTTCAAATGTTTTGGATTCTTATTTTGTTATAAACTACCTGCATTATATTATATTTACATTGTGATTTTTATATGGTTCTGGCGACAAGATCGATATGATCTTCTTCCAGATTCCAAGTTTATATGTTTATATTATATGGAAATCACGACATATAAACACCAAGAAATAACAATGAACGCTCTCTTACTTCTCAAGAGTTATTTACAACGATTTAATGGGGTAAGCCTCTTTTCATGAAGACGATGGAAGAAAGTATTTTTTTTTTTTTTTTATGTTTATGGATAATTTATTTACTATAAACCATTCGCTTAGTTTTGCAAGCTCTTTGTTTACTGTTTCAAATAAAGAATTAATACCCTTATCAGAATAAAATAAGTTGGTATCGTCTGCAAATAGAATTGAATTTAAGATACTTGAAAATTTATTTAAGTCATTTATATAAATGAGGAACAAAAGGGGCCCTAAAATTGATCCTTGCGGGACGCCGCAAGAAATTGTTGCTAAATTCGTTTTACTATCATTAAACGAGATATATTGTTTCCTGTTTGTTAGATAACTTTTAATCCAAGCTAAGTTATAATTTAAGATACCATAATTTTTAAGTTTGTGCAGGAGAATATTATGATCCACCGTATCAAAAGCCTTACTTAGATCAATAAAGACGCCTAATGTAAATTTGTTTTCATCAAAACCTTTGAGTATTTTGTGTATTAGATGAATGAATGATCGGTTGAATGGCCAGATTTAAACCCAAATTGTTTATCGTTAAGAATTTTATTTTTTTATTAGTTAAAAAAGAATAAAGTCTGTTATTCATAACACGTTCCAAAATCTTGGAAAAGCAGGTAAGAATTGAGATTGGTCAGTAGTTTGAGACATTAGAAGGATCACCTGATTTATAGATTGGTATAACCTTTGCACATTTTAAGTTTTCAGGAAAAACCTCGTGCTTTAAAGATAAATTTAAAATATGGAAGAGTGGTATTTTTATAAAACTAATTGATTTAATAATGACATTACTACTAACATCATCAGCACCTGGACTTTTATTAGGTTTTAGTAAAGAAACTGAGTTTAATAACTCATCTTCTGTAAGTTCATGATTAGACATGACAGTTATATTAGGTGTTAGGTATAAACGAAAGTTTGTCTGAGGTGGTCCTATTTTAGAGGCTAAATTCGAACCTACATTAACAAAGAAGTTATTAAATGTTTCTGCAACTAATAATTTATTTACAATTAAGTTGTTATTAATTTTAAAATTAGTTGGGAGTGCATTTCGGTCCAGATTTTTTTTGCCAATTACCTCTTTAATAATGTTCCATATTTTTTGTGTACTGTTGTTTCTCTTTAATTTTTCAGAATAATAGTTTTTTTTTTTGAGCGTTTTAGAACAGATTCAAATAAACGTTTATAACTTGTACAATTAGTTTCATTTACCAATGTTCTTTTTTAAGAAATTTACAATACAATCGCTGTTTAATTTTGGAAGATTTAAAGATTCCCTTCGTTATCCATGGGTTTAAAAGCGTTTTTGATTTGACTAATTTAGTAATTTTAGGGAACGCTTCATTATAATGAGTAAGAAATTCGGTTAAAAAAATATCGTAAGCTTCATTGGCATTTTGATTTTTTAGTGTCTCGTTCCAATTTACGTACGATAAAAGATATTGAAAATATTTCATGGATGTATTGTTTCTAATACGTGCTGTAATTTTTTTTTATAAGCATCAGTCTGAATGCATTTATTTGATATTATAAAAATCGGAAAGTGATCCGAAATATCCGTTTTAAATATTCCAGTTTTAATTTTTGTATTGTTAAATTCATTGATCAATTGACCTTGAACTACGGCTAGTCACACGCGTAAGTTTATTTATTATTGGAATATATCCACTTTGAAAAATGACGTTAAAGAATTTATTCGTTTGTTTAATTACGTCATACTCTAAAATATTAAGGTTAATGTCACTCACGAAATGAACACTTTTATTTATTTCCAATTTATTTTAAATTATGTTTTTAATGTAATCTTTGGACGCATTAATATTTCCTGATGGTGGTCTGTATAATGCATGCACGACAATGTTTTTGGAGGTTTTACTAATGATTTTCACATATAATGACTCATAATTATTTGTGATTGAACTTAAACTAAATAATTTTGAATAACAATGAATTCTTAATAAACATACATAAATCCCCGCCTTCTTTGCCCAGGTCTCTTATTTGGTTGACTACATTGTAATTGGGTATTTGGAAATATGAATCGTTCTCAACATTTTTGTCTTGTTTCAATAAGACAGATAATTTGAAAATTAATTTTTATTTTATATAGAAACTGTTTTAATGAGTCAAATTTTTTTTTTAAACTTCTAATATTAATATGAAGAATTGAAAATGAGTTATCATCCATTCCTTTGGTAATGTCTTTTGAGTATGGGTTATAATATAATGGGCTAATATTTTTAATTAGTTCATCATCGTTATAAAAATTAATATCAGGATCCGAATTGCGATTTAAAAGGATTGAATATTTAATTTTAAATGTTTTAAATTCAAAGTTTGACAAATCAATTTCTTCAGCCATTTTAAATAAGAGTAATTTAAAGAACAAAAGGTATAAAAATTTAAAAAATTTAATTGATGGCGTTTTCCTAAATTCCTTAACAATTGGCTATCTTCAAGTTGTCGAATTTTAGTTTTATCTTTATTTCCTAGATTAGAATTCAAAGAAATCTTTTTTTCTAAATCGATAACCTTTTTATCATGGCAATCTTGTGTAAACGATAAACTTTCTTCAATGTCTTTTTGAACTTTTTTATAATTCATCATCTGCTTCTTTGTCAAAATAAGTTCCACTATCATTTTTTCATTTTCTTTTGTTAAAGATTCGCATGTGTTTTTTAGTAAAGTAACATCTTTTTGTAATACGTCGATTCTATCGTTTGTAATTTTTAGATTACCGCTTATCGGTTTAAAAATATCTTTTTGCTGTTTTTTCAAGGATACCAAAAAGTCATACCACTGTGAACTCCTGACACTATCATATATGACACAAATACTACAATGAAAACCATATTGATGCCCATCAGCATAATTGTGTCAAGCAGTAACCCAAAAAACTTTCAAAGCAAAACTTTTCAAAAAAAAATTTCAGAGCAACTATGTCAAAAATAAGTCTATAAACTTTTAGTTTTTCATTAAATTTTTTAGTAACGATGAGTTTTATTATATTTGATTTTAAAGATTTGAATTAAAGATTTAACCTTACTTTTTCATGCAATCTTTAACATTGCATGAAAATATATATAGTTAATCATGTAGTTCAACATAAATTAATCAAAATATATATAGTTAATCAACTAAATACATATATTAACTATTATACATATAGTTAATCAAGACTATAGTTCATACCTCAAATTTTATTTAAATAATTATAAAAACATTAATAATAAAAAATACGGTTAAGAAAATAAGAAATAAGTTCGCAGTCCCATAACATTTAAGGAAAATCAGTAAGATCGCACTTCCATTAAGATTACGAAAAATTATTATCAACGGATACCGAAAGTATTCTTATGCGCTGCGTGTGAACTATTTTATGTAACCAGCAAATCCGTGATTTTTAAAGCAATCTGTGATGCCAATACGCAACGTAAATAGTGAAAATAATTATGTAGCCAATTTAAGTGGTCATCTACCGGACAATAACAACTCTTGGACCTAAAAAGATAATAAAAGGTATCAAAATAAAATACAATAAGACAAAAACAAAACTTTTTTTTATCAAACAATAGGAAATTTTTCTAAGAAGTTTCCTATTGTTTGATTAATGTATTTGATTAATGTAATAATTCAAATTTGAAATTTAATTATTTTAAGAATTAATTTTTTTTTTTCAAGAAAAAGTAATTAAGTACTAAATTCGTGTAAAATGAAAACCTGCTGTTTATATAGTGCCTTAATGTCTTCTAGGTCCATTTTCAACTCTTCATTTTCTTCTTCTTTCTCGCCATACATTTGTAGCATTGCATTGTAACGGTTGCTTAATTCCTAAAATTGTCAAGAAATGTAAGAATTATTTTTTTATCAAATTAAAAGATCGAAATAAACTACCAACTGATACCTCGTATTTGATTTTAAACAAATGCAATTCTTGGGATTGCATCTCGAGCTCTTCTAGCCTGCTTGTTGCAGACACCAAATCGCGAGCTAGTGAAGCTCTTGTCCGTTCTAGAGAATTGACTTCTTCCTATGCCATAATTTTATACCAAAATGAGTATATTATAATATACACAAACAACATACATACATAAGTGTGTGTGTGTGTTTATATATATATATATATATATATATATATATATATATATATATATATATATATATATATATATATATATATATATATATATATATATATATATATATATATATATATATATATATATATCTTCTTTGCCTTTGTATATATATGTATGTATATATGTGTGTGTATATATACATACGTTTTTTTTTGTGAAAAAAAAAACAAACAAATAAAAAACTTTTTGAGGTAAAAAGATGGTTAGTGGTTAGTGTCACGGAATTTAACACTTACAAAACACAGCAGAAGCAGATACAAAATAAAATGACAATGAAAAATTAATAAAAAAGAGTTAAAGAAATGATAAAATAGTAAATCTGAACTTATGCAAGCGTAACATGGGCAGATATAGTAAATTTATCTCCTGAACAAATGCTCATAATAAATACAGTGGTAAGCGAAACGAAGGAAAGAGAATAACAAGAGAATAAAGTAGTAATTTTTGGAATAAAAGCTTAAGTCAATGAAGACAAAAGCAAAGCAAAGTTATGCGTCAAAAAGATTATTGAAAAAGTAAATAATATAAAGTTTTTATCAATTCGGATATAACAGAAACAGAAAGATATAAATTTAAGCTATAAAGACAATGTAAGAGAATGTAGAGATAAAAATAATTAAAAGATTTTAATTATGGTATCCGAAAGGATAAAGTAACAAAAATAAGTAAATAGCAACGAAAAAACATTAAAAATTCCATTTACTCACCAAACAATGATTTGACTTGATTAAATTTTAGTAAGTTGGAAAAAGAAAACTTAAATGAACTTATAGTTGAAAAATATAACTAACTTAAGTATTGGTACAAATGATACATTTTTGGTAAATAAAAAAACAAAAAGAGTTTTAAACAAAAATCAATAAAAATTCACCAAATAACATTCTTATTTGGGAAACATGGTTTAAAAATGACAAAATTGTTAATATTAACAACTACAACTGCTTTTAAAATATTAGAACAAATAAACAAGGTGAAGGTGTTGCAATTTTTACCAAATATGAAATAATTAATCATAAAGTAGTAGTTTCACCTTTATATAAAGAAGTTGAACAAATATGGTGCAGCTAAGTACTTCAAAAAACAAAAAAATTAACTGGATGTATATACAGACTACCAAAAAGTAATGACTAAGTAAACAATTTAATCAATCAATTAATAAAAACTGCAAAAAAGGAAGTGTATAATGGAAAATACTCCAATTTAATAACTTCTGGTGATTTTAATTACTAGAATATTATTTGGAATGAAGATGGAACTATTGAACTAAACCAAACTGCCAATCAAGCTAAACATTTATTAATAAATTGCAAAACATATGTTTTAAAATATTGCAAAAGAATTATTTACATAAAATAGTTAGCAAACCAACTTTTCAAATGGCTGTTGATATACCAACAAATATATTAGATTTAATAATATGTGACAATCTAGATTTAGTAATCAATATTAAATATGATGCTCCACTTAGTCAAGCTACTAAAAGCAACTACATTTTAAAATGGAAAACCTGTTCAATTCATGTGGCTGAAAAGGAAAATAAAGGAAATAATTCTAATGTTTGATAAAACAAATTGGGTTGAAATCTACAATAAAATGTCTACAAATCAATGTTATGAAAACTTTTTAAAAATTTATAAAGAAGCTTGTAAACAATATATTCCTCGCCACTTTAAACTCACTAATTCTATCCAAAATCCATGCATTAATAAAAAAATCAAAAATTTAATTAAGAAAAAATGTAGTTTATGATGCAAAGTGCGTGCTATGAACTTCAAGAATACAAACTTGAATGATGAATACAAACTAGTCAATAAAACAATTAAAAAACAAATTAAAAAATCTACATGTAATTATGAAATAAGTTTACCAAAAGATGTAAAACATATTCCGAAAGGCTTCTATGCATATGCACAAAGGAAAAATCAAAGACATACAAAAATACTAGCCTTTGAAACTAGTGACAATAAGATAATAACTGATAAAAAAAGGCATTGCCAATATACTAAATTCTAGTTTCCAGTCAGTATTTGTCAAGGAAAACCAAAATCTACCATATTTCATCAATAAAACAAGTCAATTATTTGAACTAAAAGAAGATATTATACTTAATTAGAACTTAATGAAAACAAATCTCTTGGTAAGGATAACATCAGTTATGTATTAAAGTATTATGCAGAAGCAATTATTTGAAAATATTTTGCTTTGAAAAGCAATTATTTGAACATACTTTTTTATCCGATTATCTAATAATTAAACCTTGTCAACAGCTTACACCCTTATAAAAAAGTACACCCTGTTAAAAAGATTTAATCCAGTAAAAGATTATCAATTGCAAAGCAAACAACTTACACGTAGCAAAAAAAGTTCACCATCTCGTTTTCTAAGCTGGATATCTATGTGTTCTAACGATGCTGTTGTAGTTGTGGAACGCATACTACTAGACCAATCCTGAATGCTATTTGCCAATGTATCAGGATATAATTGTATAAAAGAATTCTAAAAACAATTAACCATAATAAAATCTGAGCACAGAAAAAAAAAAGAAAAAAAAACAATAATAACAAAATATACAAACTCGAAATAAAAATTGAACCAAAAATTATATAAAAATATTAATAAATCAAAAAGACAAATTCTTTTTTTTTTTCATTTATATAAAATCAGCCAAAAGAAAAATTTATAGAAAATTAAACAAATCACCTTTTGTGATGGACCAGTATCATCTAATTTTACAAGAGAGTCAGTGCTAATTTGTCGACTTAATGAGCTAGATTGAACATTGGAATGATTAAATGTTAACTGAGAAATCTCATGTTCATGATGCAATCTTTCAGTAGCCAATTGGTCTTCCAGCAAACTCTAAAAAAAAATAATCTTTTTCTAAAATAAAATATTAAAATTTTTTAATGATAATTTATTTGATACATTTATTCATATTAGACTAGTTCATTTCTAAAAAAGTAGCAACTTTAAATGTAAAAAAAAACAAACAAAAAAAAACAAAAAACAACACCAACAAATTCTCAATTAAACAAAATGAAAATTTTAACAACAGTTTTTTTTAATTTCATTTAAAAGCTTTCTTTTTTTATTAAGTACAAGAAATTTAGAAAATTAGAGATGTTTTTTCCCAAGACAAAAAGTTCTATAGAATTTCTATATAACTATTTAATTTCTATTGAATTTGTATAGAAATAATGGAATTCTATAGAATTTCTATAGACTAATTTTATAATTTATGTGAAATTTATATAAAAAATAAAATTGTCTATAGTATTTGTATAGACTTCTAGATTGACTAAAATTATTATAGAAAGTCTATAAATTTGTTTAGATTATTTCTATAGAATTTCTATAGAAATTCATCATAGTGAATTTCTATAGAAATTCATTATAGTGAATTTCTATAGAAATTCATCATAGTGAATTTTTATAGAGATTTATCGTAGTGAATTTCGATAGAAATTGAATTTCTATAAAAATTCATTATGTTAATTTCTTTTGAAATTCATTATGTTGAATTTCTATCGAGTACAACTGTGGTCACGTGACTGTTTCAATGTTGCCATTAAGAGAGGATAAAAAAAAGTAAACAAACTATTTGCGGTATTAAATTTAATATCATTTGTAATAGGTTTTTATTAGGTTTTAGTACCAATATTAATATATTAATAGAGTATTTGATATTAATATGGTATAATAATGAAGATTTTTTTACTTTTCAAAATCAATATCAAGTTTATTTACGATAAATAAATGTCGCATTACAAAATATTAGATGTACCCAGGTACCTTTTGAAGATACCTTCCAAAAACAGATTGATTAATAAACTATTTATTATTTTCACCAAATTCTTATACAGCTGAGGATATGAAGACCTATAAAGCATAGAAGCGTTTAATTAAACAATAATATATTTTGTAAAAATTTTAGGTGTATCATTCTAAACATTTAAATGATCCTCAAATTAATCCATTGATTTTTGCAGAATTTAATATCCACACTGTATTTGCAATGCAGGCCTTGCTGAAGATTGTACACATATTGCTGCAGTTTTATTTTGGATTATTAAAATTGTTAAAATGTGAGAATCTAAAACAGTAACTGAATATAATTCTGAGTGATTACCATCAAACTCACCACCAAAGTTAAAAACAAAACAAAATTTTTTTTTGATTGACTAAATAAATGAAAATTAAACGCAGTTATTCTAAAAACAATACTTGAATCAGAATACTCTACTGAATCTTATAATTCATAGTATCAGATGGTGTTATTAAGTGTTCCTTTTTTTCAAAAATATGCTTAGAAATTAAATTTCTATACAGTTATAGAAACACCATTACAAGACATGATTGAAAATGAAAAAACTTTTTATTGTTAATTAGAAAAACAGTCAATTATCACTTCAAAAAGATCAAGGATATTACTACCAAATAAAAACTCAACTTCTCATTACTGAATATTAGTACTGCAATTTTTTATGAACAGTACAACTTTATAATTCTTTGAATTTTTTGAAAAAAAATTCAAAGAATTATAAAGTCCTTTACTGTTCAAAAAATTTCTTTCAAAACTAGTGAGCCTGAACACATTGAAAGTAATGTTTTATCATTTAGAAATAGCTAAGAAAAGACTTAAATTAAATTGAATTTTGAATATTCTATATACAATTTTGTTGCAGATAATTCTATTGAAGTACAATTAAAAAAAAAATTTTTCTTTTTTTCTTTAGTAAAAATGAAAAGTTTAAAGTAGCAAGGAGTAGTAGGAAAATGCCGGTTCGGGGACATTTTTCATTTTCAACCATATTTTCAATCATATATTTAATTAAAATATATGATTCATTATCATTCATAGTGTGTATAAATATTATAACTAAGAAATAAATTTTTAGGTCACTTCGTGATCAATGCTACGCTAAATCATTTTTTAAGATTTAAAAATTAGTATCAATTTCGTTTCTATTGCGTGACGTCACAGGTCACGTGATATTCAGATTGATCTTATGATCTGGTCAGTGCGCATGCGCTTAATTTTTGTTTATTTGCTTGTAGATGCTGTAGAATATGAAGAAGCTGTTACAGTAGTATTTGTATTAGCATTGCCAGAAGTAGCTGATACGCATATATTCACATTTACATTTGAGTTGTTCATTTTTTATATATTTAAGATAATTATTTATAAACTTTTCAATTCTGTATTATCAACCCATGAGTTAAAAGTATCAGGATACCCATACCACTTTACAAATGATTTATTTCCTTGTTTACGAATAACCTTTTCAATTCTAAATATCTCTTGACTTGTTTTTTGAAGTTCTTGTTCATAAAAAGTACCTTGTATTTCTTCATTATTATAATCAGTTATTTTATAAGTAGGTGGATCTGTGTACTGAACTTGTGATACTGTGAATACTTCTTCAGTCCATCTTGGTGTATATCCTTTTTCAAACGCTCCTTTCTTTTTAATTATTCTCACTTTATCACCTATTGAAAACTTAGGTTGAATAGGATTTGATTTTACTTTACCATTTAGATTAAACCAAATTTTATTTTCATTCTTTTTATCGCTTGCTTCAGCTGGAGTCATTTTAATTGAAGAATGCTTTGTGTTGTTGTATTGATTTACCATTTCATCTAAGACATCAATGTATTTTCTCGTAGAATTAGCTGAAAAGTATTTGAACATTTTTTCTTTCATTGTTCTATTCCATCGTTCAACAACGCAACTTTTTTCTTCATTTTCAGTTGAATAGAGATGAACTCCTAATGCTTTAACATGTTTGTTATAAAATTCCAAACCTTTATCAACCCATAATTTATCGCATTTCCTAATTTTAAAGATTTTATTGAATGCATTAGCAACTTCAACTCCAGTTTTACTTTTCAGTGGAATTATCCATCCATACTTTGAAAATATATCAATTACCATTAATAAGTATTTTATACCATTATTAAATTTAGAAAAAGTTTGCATGTCAACTAAATCAGCAGCCCATATTTCATCGATTCCATTTACAATCACTTTTCTTTTTCTAAAATGTTTTATAACAGGTTTATGAAGTTCATTTGCAAGTTCATCAGTCCATTTCAGATTCCGAATGGATCCTTGCTTCGCTACGTCGTTTGCTTTTTTCCTGTGCGTTGGTAGTTTTTTTGACATAATTCTTTAATACTCATTGGTTCTTTATTTCCCATACCAAACCTTACTTTAGCAGATATAATAGGTTTTATAATCTTTCTTTCCATTTTTTCACGCATTGTAGGATTAGGTATAGCATCCATTTGTTCAAGCATCATTTCATCAGCTAAATTTCTATGTTCTTTATCTGTAAAATGTTTATAAGCAAGATCATGAATATAAGCTGCTTTATCAACTCTATCTACAGGCATACTCCATTCTTTAGGTGTATCATCAGGATTTAATCTTAAATCTAATCTAGTACCAGGTCCTTCAAAGTTTGTACGTGGTATATGCATTTCACCTTGAAACTTTTGAAAAGGTAATTTTTTATTCTTTGTAAAATTATTAATAGATTCTACTAAATCACCACCTTTAGTTCCTTTTGTAAATTGAGTTTTTGTTGTTCCACATAGTGCACAATTTCCACGAAGCATATTTCTATTGTTTTTACTTACAACATGCTGTAAGTTGAGTGTATCTGTTTTGTTTCTACATTTAACGCAATACATTTTTTATTACTTTATTTTTATTTAATTTAAAAAATTATTTATATAAGAAAATGGAAGTATTAGATTTGTCATATAATGTAAATAAAAATAATCGTCATAATAATGAGTTATTACCAAGAAGTATAAGAGGACTTATAGTTGGGAAGTCTGGTTGTGGAAAAACAAATTTATTATTAAATTTACTTATAAGACCTGATTGGTTGGACTATAATAATTTACAAGTTTTTGGAAAATCTCTTTTTCAACCTGAATACAAAATATTAAAAAGTTCTTTTGAAAAAAAAGTACCAAAAGAAGATATTCTTAAAATATTTAAGTTACAAGATAAAATAGATAAGATGGATATCAGCCCTGATCTTGTAATTGAAGTCCATTCAAAAAATTTAAAAAATAAAATAGATATGGAGTGTCAATTTTATGAAACAGCAGATGATGTACCAGAACCTGAAGATCTTGATCTTACTAAAAATAATTTAATGATATTCGATGATTTACAATTAACAAAGCAAAACAAGTGTGAAAAGTACTATATAAGAGGAAGGCATAGTAATGTAGATTGTTTCTATTTAGCGCAAAATTATTTTATGCTACCAAGGAAAACAATAAGAGAAAATGCAAATTTTATATGCTTGTTTAAACAAGATTCAAAAAATGTAAATCATATATATAACGATCATGTTTCAAATGATATGTCAAAAGAAGAGTTTAAAAACTTTTGTAAAATAGTTTGGTCAAAACCACATAAATTTATTGTTATTGATTTATCATCAGATGTGAAAAATGGAAAATATAGAAATGGCTTTGATCGTTTTTATTTTCCTTTATCTGTATTAAATGGTAGATCCTGAAAGGATCCAACGAAGTCTTGGTTCTTTCAGAACCTATGCTAAATGAAATATATATTTTAATAAATATATATTTAACTAAAGAATCCAACCTAATAATGGGATATTTTTAAATGGTGAATTTTCACCTAATATTAAACCTTTTCCTACTTTTTCATATTGATTATCGTTTCCAGTTCCTTTTCCATAATAGTAGTAATACCCATTTCCTAAATATCTTCCTTTTTTCCATTCATCTATTAGTAATCCTTTTCCTACTTTTCTAGCTTTAATAGATCTTTTATTATCTTTAATATACAAAACACCTTTTCCAGCAAT